CTTAAAACTTCTTCATTGTGTCTTTCTTTTAATCATATCCATATTTTAACTCTGTCAGTAAGCATTCTTAGTTACTATTACTATTATATGTGCATTTTTACCTTTATTACTGCAGGCCTTGTATTCTACGGAGATCATTGCTGAGTTTACTAGTGAGACATGGATTTAAAGGCTTACAGCCACAAAAATGCACTTTCTGAAATTAATTTTTAATATAGAACTTATATATTCATATTGAAACATAATTGACTTGGATCATTGATTTGGTACCGGAGCGACAGATTTTGGAAAAGGGGAGACAAATGCCAATTTACCATTTATACTGCAATTATTCAGATCAACTTTATACTACAATATTTCCATTGTCCTCTTTGACTTTCAGTGGTTTTAAATGTATTGTGCTCATTCTAATTTCCATTCGTTAGCTGCAAAAACTCCAACTGACAGGCCAACGTCTGTTGGCAAGTTAATTCGCATTTTATTTTTATGGATAACTTTTTCTTAGGCTTAAACTTTGCGACTTCCTGCCAAGCCTCCAAGGTTTAAAACCAATTATCAGAATGATGTTGGCTCCAATCAAGATGGCTCAACTACTGAAAGCGTATAGAAAGAGAAAAAGTAAGTATTTTCTTTTCATCACATCTGTTATAGTAAAAAAAAAAAATAATTACATATCTGGCTACATTTGTTAGGATATAGACCAAGGTAAATGATGTTACTATAACGGCATACGGAATGATTGTTCTTTCATAGTATCAAAAGCATGTTGATAATAGTCATGCAATTTCAGATTTTATAAAGATTTAGGCAGATGATCACCAGGGCTAGCAATAATTTAGTTTCACTGTTTGTAGTTATGCGTTCCTGATTACTTGTAGCTGTTTTAGTGCAACTGGCTTGTTAATATTGTACTATTTTTTTATATAACTATCTATCTATCTGTCTGTCTGTCTGTCTGTCTCTCTGTCTGTCTGTCTATCAAGTCGGGATCACCTTTTTTAATTTGTGACACCCATCTTACAGTAGTCTGAGCAATTTGTTAATTTATTCATTCATCCAGTTACAAGGGGGGAGCTATTATCCGCTTCCTACCCCCAACAGGTTATATTCACTCCCCAAACTTAGCTCACCAGAGATATCTTCCCCTCAGTCCCCACTCATGAGTAGTGGATGGGTTCTCTAATTATAATAATGGGAAGACCCAATATTATAATTATGGGTGGGTCCTAATATTATAATTACAGGTGGGACCTAATATTATAATTAGCCCCCACCGCTAGGCAGCAGATGAAACTTAAAGGGACACTGTAGTCACCAGAACAACTACAGAGTACTGGAGTTCTGGTGAGTGTAGTCAGGGCCTGCATGCGGTTTAATGTAAGGACTTAATGTTTACATTGCGGCCTTGTTACACTTTTAGTGTCAGTCACTCAGACGGAGACTAGAGGTGCTTCCTGGATCAGTGCTGCACTGATGTCCAGTGTCTCTCTGCTCTACATAGAGATGCTGAACTTTTCCCATTGAGATGCATTTATCCAATGAATCTCTATGGGGAGGTGCTGATTGGTGCTTACAGGGCGGCAAAGCTTTATTGTAGTCATGACTGGGCAGTAATAGACATGCCCCTAACCTAGGCACATTAGGTAGGAGCATGAGGGAGGTTGTAAACTATATCACTATATAGCTCATAACTATATGGGTGTCATAATGGCCCTCATAGGATTTTATTTCTTAATTTAACCGCTAACTGCTGCCTCCATTATTAACTCCTCACTCGCTGCAGTGAGTGAGAAGTTAAAAATTTAAATCATTGTTTAAATTTCATTTGCAATGAGAATGTTCCGATGAAATCTGAATAACTCAAAACAAAGCATGGATGACATTCTTATCGTATGAATAGTTTTTATTTGCTGATGAAACTATTTGTACGAACCGAATTTTCCATCCACTGACAAGTCTAACATGTAACACTATGATGTGTTTTAAATGATTAAGAAAACATACAGAGAAACATCTCCTATAGGTCTATGCAACACAGTTTTTGTGCACATTTTGCACTTTATCACAATGTAGATGCAAGTCTCCCACATTTTGTAGATTTTGCAAAGTTTGTAATGATTTGGAATGTTGGGGATTTTATTAAATCACTCCGTAAGCCTGAAATGCGTTGGGTTTATGCGTTGGGTTTATGAAATAGGGACACTAGCTCCAGGAAAAATGAACTCAGATTTTTAGCTTTGTCTAATTACTTAGGATTGTTGTAGTTAAACTATTTCATTTCATATTTCATTAAGATCTTACCTATTTAGATATGTTAAGCTTATTGGTAACAATTTTAATACTTTTAATTCCTACACTCATGTCTTTAGAATTTTTATATATATTTTTTGTTTTTATTTTGCGTTTCCCTGATCTATTATTGATTTCAAGATTATTAAAAAAAATTTGATATTTAAAAAAAAATTTGAAATATTTTCCCTTTTTAAATTATATTTTATTGTTAGACCAGTTTTAGCTGAAATTCTGTATTTCACCCTAGCAGATAAAGAGCGCTATTTATATCAAGTAATGCATTAAGCCTAATTATTTAAAGGAATAGCCACTTATAAATATCTGATATGCATGTATGCATGTATGTGTGTATATACATGTTTTTTTTTAAATCATTTTAGGGAGCATGATAAATGAATAAGCACCATGTGGATGTCATCCAATGGTTAGCTTTTTAGTAATCTGAATAGGTTTCTTCCAACCAGGGATCCAAATGCTTGTGTTTCTATTTTGATAGTTGTGATCGTGTATAAGTCTCGACCAGTTTTTAGTTGTTGTACAGCTTTTAGGACAGCCCTAATTTTTTATTTATTTATAAAATATTTTACCAGGAAGGATACATTGAGATGTCTCTCGTTTTTAAGTATGTCCTGGATCCACAAAATAATAATGCCAATAATGATCCATTTTAAATGGATAGGTTACTTTATACAGTCTATCTTAGTGTGCTACTTTGTACTCCAGGGCTTCATCAGCAACAGTCGTGATCTAGTGAAACAGTGGGCATCATGGGATTATGCTGGAATCCATTATAAATATTACCATTTCCTTGGTGAAAATTCAGTTAGATTATTATTTAAAGTTTTTTTTTTACATTTTCATTTAAAGTTTTTTTTTTTTTTCCATCTCCTATGGATATTATCCCTTATATGGCTGGTCTTCTGGAAATCCGATTGGTTTTATCCTTTGCGAGGATTCATAGGTTTCTGTTACTATTGTTGCTGTTAGGATGCGTTATTATGGGAACACATGCGGGTTTAGATGGTCTACCACCAGCAGTTTTAGTATAGCATCAACCTGCAAACATATGTGAAACCTAAGGTTTATAATACATTTTAAAAGGCTAATGAAACCAAGTGCATCAAAGAAGTCACCTTCCCTTCTAATTTTTTATTCATGGCAGGTTTTGAAAAGAAGCAGTGTGCGAAGGTAGCCATATGCCAATAATAAAGCCCTTGAATAGGATAAAACGTGTTTGGTGAAATTTGCTCTGGGTGATATTTCTTTATATATACACAGAGGATCGGAATGTTGATGTAACATGAATAGAAAAAAGGTTACTTCTGAGTGACGCTGAGTATCAGGCCGAGGGGTCCATAGCATTCACAGTGTCCAGCCAAAGCAGGGGAATTTTTATAAAATATATTTTTCTTCTTGAATAAATATCTCTTTGGTTATTACATACTACTCTATGTGCGGTCCCAAGGGAGGAATGCATTGATAGGAGGACAGCGAGGAAGGATTTGGAGTTGTGGGAGGTTAGGGAGGGAGAGATTGGAGACTGGATGTTGGGAACACTCTGTGGACTCTAAGATCGGTAAGGTTCTTATCATGGAGTCATTTATATTGACCACACCTATGATGTTGTCCATTTTGGTTTTGTTTAACCCCTTAAGGACACAGCTTCAGAAGCTGGACATTCCCTTAAGGACACAAGCATTTTTTGCATTTTTTGCAGTTTGTGTTCAACTGCAATTTGCATCTCTCTCATTTATTGTACCAACACATATTATATACCATTTTTTAGACAACAAAAAGTGATTTAATTTGATGTGACATATAAAAAAAAAAATGCAAAATAATGTGGAAAAAAACAAAAAATGCTTCTTTCCCCAAGTTTAATAATATGTCCAGCTTAGGAAAAGTTTTTTTACATACATGTTGCATTTTTGCTGGGTATTTCTTACATTTGACAAGTGCCACTGTCATAAATTCCCCCTAAGTATGCTCAGTTACCTCTTCTGAGTAAAACAATATGCCCGATGTATGACCCAGACACTATTTTGTTAAGTTACAATGCTGTGAAAGAGACGTGATAAGTTTAGGTTTTTAAGTGTGAATTTGCATGGCGAGTTGTAATGGGTCCGTATTGTATTTTTAAATATGTTAGCAGGCTGCTTTTTCCAACTACCCCAAAAAGGCATACTATTTCTTAAAGAAGACGCCCGAGGGTATTTCAAAAGGCAAATTGTAAACCTAAGTGTGGGATAATTTTTCTGTTAGCTTGTATCAAGTGTAGTGGTAATAGGCATTTTTTTCTGTCTTTTTGACACACAGTGAGTTTGTACTGTATATTTTGCAAACCTTATGTGTGCTACAGCTTTATAATACTTTATATGTTGCTCAGCTATGTTGTCTGAGTACAGCAATACCCCCCGTATGTACCTTTGCCAGGTATATGTGGACGTTGAAGGGGCACATTTCAGACACAGCCATTGCAGATTTTTCAAACTTTACATTTTTACACTGTGTCCATACCCCACTTTGGAGGTTTTTTGTAGGTTAATTATTCCAGCTACCCCATAAAGGCATACCATTTCTTAAAGAAGACACCCTAGGGTATTTCAAAAGACATATTTTGAACTTTAGCGTCAAAATAATTTTTCCGCTAGCTTATAGCAAGTGTAGTGGTCATAAGCATTTTTATGCCTTTTTGACATACTCAATGAGTTTGTAATATATATTTTGCAAACCTTATATGTGCTACAGCAGTATAATACATCATATGTTGCTCCGCTATGTCATCTGAGTACAGCAATACCCCCGTATGTACCTTTACCAGGTAAATGACAACGTTGAAGACACAGCCATTTAAGTTAGAATTTTTACGCTGGATCCATGCCCCACTTTGGAATTTTTTTAATAGGTTGTGTTGTCCAATTACTCCACAGAGGCATACCATTTTCTAAAGAAGACACCCCAGGGTGTTTCAAAAGGCATATTTGAAACTTTAGTGTGGTATCATTTTTTTCGCTAGCCTGTACCAAGTGTAGAGGTAATACGCATTTCCCCCCTTTTTTAAACATTTTTTTAACTTTTAAAAAGTTTTATTTAGCTTTTAACAACTTATTTTACTATTTTAAAACTTTGTTTAAACTTTTCAAAAGTTATTTTTCACTTTTTATAGGTTTTTTTTCACCTTTAACCCCTAACTAGCCTAACCGTTAATCCCCTAATTTCCCCACTAACTTCTACCCACCCTAGCTAAATAAATACATATTTTAAAATATTTAAATGAATTAATTAATTAAATAAATTTAACCCCTGTGGATAAAAGTCCATAAAAATAAATACAATAAAAGTTAACCTCAGGGGTTAAAATTAAAAAAAATCAGATCACAGTGAAATACTGTGATCTGTAATTTGATCACTGCAGGCAGTGATCAAAGGGCAGGGAAAGGGTTACATTTTATTTGAAAGAGGTGAGGGGGGGGGATTTTGTAACTAACTGGGTTTTTTTTTTACAGACAGAGACAGATCAGCACTGATCTGTCTCTCTGCAGTTCACAGCTCACACGGAGCTGCAGGGAAACAGATCAGGATTCACTGCAGCACGTGTGATCGCTCTGACTCCCGGTCAGAGCGATCACATGGGCTGTGAAAGTGAAACTACCCATGGTAGTGTGCCTCTGATATGGAGACACACTACAGGAACATTAACCCCACGATTGCCACGATTGTGGCAATCTGGGGTTAATTTTCATTTTGGACGGAAATTTTCCATCCAGCGCCTTTAAGGGGTGTGCTGCAATGACGGACAATTTCCGTCCAGCGTCCTTAAGGGGTTAATGAGTTCTACTGCGTAATTCTTAATAGCTCATGACAGATTGGTGAAAGACTCCACTCCGTTTCTGAAAGGAGGAGTTTTTTAGTATCCTGTAATATATTAAAGTCAGCAATACTAGTCTGTCTGAACTATTACCATCAGAGATCATCTTTGTATCAAAGTAAGACTCTATGGGTGTCTGTGAGGCCTAAGTTTTTTTTTTGTAAAAACAGAAACAATAAACTATTAGCTTTAGCACTTGTAGCATTACTGTGTTAAAGATATTGTAGATCAGGCATAGGCAACCTTCGGCACTCCAGATGTTTTGGACTACATCTCCCATGATGCTTTGTCAGCATTATAGGTGTACGAGCATTATGGGGGATGTAGTCCACAACATCTTGAGTGCCGAAGGCTGCCTACCCCTGTTGTAGATTGATAATGGTAGTTAGAACCGGTATGTACTGGAGATACAGCTATTTATGGTGTATTTATATTGCATTTTAATACGATTTAAATCTATAGAGGGACTAATGATAGGGGAGTCTATCCTTTGTCAATCACAATGTTGTGGGTTGAGGATGAGGTAGGATGGTACAATAGTTAATGCCCCACATCAGAGATGAGGGAAGGTGCATCTACCATTTTTAGTAATCAAGTTCTGTGATTTATTTTTATTTTCATTGAATTGTTTCGGCTCATGCAGCAAATGAGCCTGTTTTAGTCTGGAGTTCAGTAGATTATCTTAAGGGTTAGTAAAATAGCTTAGTGGTTAGTGATGCAATGTCTCTTGTTTATGTACAAAATGCTAGTGTAGTTCCCAGCAACTAAGACCTCGATTTAATATTGTTGGATGAGTTTCCAAATTAATTTTTGGATAAACATATCAAATAATTTCTTGTATAACATGTTAAAACATCAAAACAAATACCATACGTAAAAAAATATATCAGTGTGTCAAAAAATTGCATAATTACAAAAAATGTTTTATACTAAATAATTTTAAAAGTTTATCCAAAATATTAAATAATTTGGAAAACGTATCTAACAATATTATATCTAGGCCTAAATATTTCATCCATATGAGGTAGATAAAATTAGTACCATTAGATAAGGAAATAATATCCTTCCACTCCAGATGTTGTCTATCCCATAATGCTCTCACAGCCGGCAAAGCCGGCAAAGCAACAGGGGAGATGTAGTCGGAGGCTGCCTACCTCTTTATGCTGCTGAATTCTGTTTTGTTTATATTTATTACCCTTCTCTTAATATTTAAGAAAATATATTTTATTCTCAGGAAATATAACAGCTGCACCGAGTAACAAAGTAGTCTAAAAACCCAGTGTTGACTACTTCAATGGGAGAAATAAATGGAATGTTCATTAAACAGCTTGTATAGTCTTTTTTGGAGAGTTTCCTCAACAATGTTGAATCAAACAACTTAATTATCTCAGTGAGCAGTAAAGGAGAATAGCAGTTAAATATTGTTTGAAATATGCACTTTTGCTTGGAACATGCTGTGTAGAATATTCAATATTCTCTCACCACGCCTCAGCTTACACAGGATAAAGCTGTCTCGGTAGCATTTTTGCTATATGGCTCTGTGTTAAATAAGGCGTTGTTTGGGCCTTGTTATCAATGCTTCATTACCAAATTATACAGTACCAGAAGTCATTGAAAATGGACTAGTCTAAAGAAAATATATGTGTGCAAGGCAGTAAGGAATTAGGGACAATTCATGCTTTCTTGTTAGAACTGTGGTTGCCTAGGAGTTTATAGAAAATGTGGTATTTAAGTTGACACTGAGTGTATTAAATTAAAAGTGTGTAAAACAAGCGTATGAAGCAAGACAATAATTCAACAATATGTATCTAAAAATTAAATATGTTCATTTGTGTTATTTTGGCAAATTAAGTATTCTGGTTTCGATGTTGACTAGATTTATTGCTCCACCGAAAAGTTTCCTACTTTAGTTATTCATCAGCTGTTACCTTCTTATCTATAAGTTAGAGGTCCATGCAACATTTAAAGTTAATGAATGTGTAAAAAAATATCCCATTTGTAGATAGACAGTTTTGGCAAACAAGCACTTCTTTGAGAGTAATAGCTAATCTGGTATGGCAAAGGATATGTTTAGGGCTTTTTTTAATTTGACAAATAATACGCAACAGTCTTAATGCATGGGCACTCTGGGCCCCATAGACTTGCCAACTTTTCAGCATATTATATCGGGAGATTTCTTCAGAGCCTTCAAATCCTCTTTATGAAATCGGTTAGATGGACTAATCACCTCAGTATTAGCTGTTATCTGTTATCTAAGCAAGACAAAATCAACACACATAATTTGCCGTAGCCGTAAAGCTAAAATTAAGTTATTCTAATATTTTTAACAGTTCAAGTCTGTTGTCTCTCCCTACTACCTACTAAATGTTTGTGTGGATTAATCTCTGCCCGTCAGTATGTTTTTTCATGTTTAAACAATGATTGCTGGATGGACCAATAAATATAAGCTTTATTTTATCGATTATTTACATTTAATTGTGTAGGGAGGGCCCCAGTGAACTGCTTTGCCTGGTGGTCTAGAATGCAGTTAAGATGGTGCTGCTAGGCAAGTGAGGTCCAAAAAATCCAGGTAAGCATATTGCAGAGAAAATGAAGAATTATTACCTCTTAATTCTTCTACGGCAAAGTTTCCACAAAGTCTCCACCTAAGAAGGGATTTCATCATATGTCTTCATATGCATATGCACAGAATTCAAATAATTTTATTAATAATAATTATATTAATATATTTTAAGCACTGCCACTTTGCTGCAAATTGCCTCATGTGGAAGTGAACTGATATAAAACCTTTAACTTTTAATGCTAAAATTATAAATATTCTAATATTGATTGGACAAAAAAGAAACAATGTATTTACTTTGACAAAAATATTGTAGAGATATAATATCCATAAATGTAAAATGAAATATAAAAAATAGAACAAATAAAATAACACATATACTCCCCAAAAATCTTTATAAGTTTTCAAGTTTATAGATTTTTTTCTTTTGGTACAGTGTCTATTAGAATTGTCTTTTTCTATTGTATATGGCATGCAAATGCTAGATCCAGATATAAATGCTTCTTTTAACGCTTATGTATCACCATCCTTCTCCTTCACAGTTCTTGTGTTAGTGAATATTCGTACTTAAAGGGACACTTTACTGCCCAAATACAATTTTTTTAAAATAACTGTTTAGTAAATATACCCCAAAAAAATGTATTTAATTATGCTTTTTTTTCATTGAGATGTAGCTAAAACCAGCTTGCAAAAGTTACAGTTCTGCCTTTGCAAACCCTCCCCTTCTAACCCCGTCCAGACTTTCTGTGGCTGTCCAATCACAGACTTCCCTATGCAGCTCAATGAGAAGTTTGTAAGGCAGGTGTTCTGAGCAATTGCTGTCTCTTGAGTTTAAATCCACTGAGTCAACAAACCAGGAATTAAAATTACCTGTTGTCTGATTGAAAGGCAAGGGGGTGGAACCAGAGTACTTCAGCTCATTGAAGTGGTCTGGATGCATTCTCCATGTCCCTTAAACCTACACTGGTAATGATTGCAATAATTACCTCTGAGGGTTAACTCCTCTTCTTGTGGCTGTCTATCACCAGTTTGCATCATAAACCATGATCAATAGTCATATGCAACCTGGCTATAGAGCAGGTAAGCAGAAGATACTGAGGGCTCCAATTAAAATCTTCTAAGATTTGTAACAACCTGAACCAACCGCTGACACAAATGGCTTTCCTGATGGATTTTTAAAACAATTTTGGATCTTTGGTAAGATGTAAATAATTAGAATTCTTGGACATTCTAGATTTAAATAATCATATAAATTTTTATCAATAACTCTTTTAAAAAATTTAGCATCTATTAGTGAAATTAGATTCCTTCTCAATACAATATTCTACATCATTTATTTTGGTAATTTAAGATATGCATCATGATCATTTAATTGATTTTTATTTTCCTAAATGTACTTTTCCCTATTCATAAGTACAACTCCCCCCTTTCTTTTTATCTGCTGGTTTAATAACAAAAACATCGTCATCTTTTAATCTTTTAACTGGACCCTT